TTGTTGTTCTGGGGGGGGGGGGGGTCAACAGTGGGAGGACTTCTAGCGTCCTGGCCCCACTGCTGGACCTCCTGGTGGCACCTGGTATATTTGGCTACTGTGTGACAGAGTGTTGGACTGGATGGGCTATTGGTCTGATCCAACACTGGCTTCTCTTATGTTCTTAATCTACAGCCTTTTGGTACTTATGCTGTGCTTGAATATTTGTAAATATGGTAAGGATTTTTACTTTAAGACAAAAAAACCTCTGGTGTTCTGCACACCACCCCTGAGTAGCACTGCCTTTGGAGTTTTCATTACTTGGGTAGGAGAGGCACACGGAACAATCCTAAATGTGTCTGTTAGGGAACCATCGCCATTCAACCATATAGGGTTGCCTTCTAAGTCAACATACCTAGGACCACACCGTTTACTGATTCAGCATTACCAAAGGAACATAAATTCGCTTTTGGGAAAGAACATTCCCCTCATTCATTCCGGAACTGTTTTAGAAACAAAATTACCAAGACTAAAAGAAAACAAACCAGGCTCACCAAACACCTACCAGAAATAATAACCCACATCAGGGTAGATTTGGGGAATGAAAAGTTATTATCAGACAGCTGCTTAAACCCGTTAATAAGTGATTCAAGGATCGGGGGTGGGGGGAAGAGAATACAACATCTCAGCCTCGTAAGAATTTAATGCTGAAGTTGCACGCAGCAGCCCGTTCCCACCTGACACCTGGCTTTGGTCAAAAGACACTGGTGAGCTAGCCGAAGCAGACAACGGCCACCCGGTCAGGGGCTCAGCAACCCAGGCAAGGACGGAGAGAATCAAACACTTACGGAGTTTTCGGATCAGTGGTGACAAGGACAGCTGCACGCCTGCAGAGCTCGCCATCGCTGAGCATCCCAACCCAGTTCAACCGCCGCGCCGTTGTGTGGCCGCAAGCCCGCTATGGTAGAGCGGGAGAAAGTACCGCGAGAGCTACATAGACAAGCGCTATTGGGAAACGTAGTTCTTTCTCACCTCTTTGCTAAACTACTCGCAAAGTCTTCTGGGCAGCGGAAATGAAAAAGTTTCGTCTGGAGTCTCGCGACATCTTGGCTGGAACTTCAAATCTGGAGGGCTTTTTGTCGATCGGGGACCGCCCAAGCCTTTCCTCTTGGGGGAGGGTTAGCTCGTTCGCCGCGGGCCCTCCTGGTATGAACCCAGCCAACTCACATAGAAATCGTATGAGTTTCATGAGGTTCATCCCTGAAACAGCTGAGCCACAGGGGCAGCCTGCTCCTGTGACTCAGCTGTTTAAAGGAGCTTTCTTGGGCAGCCTGCCCCAGGCTTGAAACTATTTAAAACCCTGCTTCTTGCACCCCACAGCTTTTTGCGGGGAGCAGAAAGCAGGAGTTTAAATCACTGCTAGTGCTCCTCGTGAACTGCATGAAAGTTTGTGGTGGTTCTTCAGCTCACAACATTGCTTCACAAACCAGCCAGAATTCGTGATGAACTTCAGTTCTTCAGCTGGTTTGTGCCCATCCATAATGCCCATAAAGCAGGAAGGGCAGCCATACCACTCAGAACAGGCAGAAAGTCAGAGGCCAATTTTGTGTATTCCATTATCATACCTTCCTGTTCTTCAATAGGCAGTTTGCTTAGTTTGCAGAGCAGAAGATGTTAACCTTCCATCCTCACCAGAATCACACAGGTGAGAGAAGAGTAAATCTTTGTTCTTGTCTAAAAGCAGCTCTGGGCAGAACCTGACTACGCACACATAATTCCACATATGTGAAAAGAGGATGGGGATCAATATATCTGTTTTTACAAAAAAATCAGGGAAGAGAAGTAATGCTCACTCCCTCGTGTACTGTATTTTGTAGTGTAGTGCATTTAATTTTCTCCAAGTGAGGCTGCTGTCTCCTTGGGAAGTTGTACAGTCAAGCTGGAAGAAACATGCTGAAATTAAAAATCCTAGGGAAAGATGTGTATATGTGTAGGTTTTATGGCAGTTGCTGTTCCTGTTTAAAATAAGAGCTCACCTCTACCTGCATCAGGATCCAAGTGATGGAAAAGGATGGAGGACCTCCCAGTGCTACTGTAGAAGGCAGAATGGCTTGCAAAATAGGGACCTCTTCACACTTTTTCCAGTTTTTCATTTATCCAAATCGAATTGGTGAGGGTTATAATCCTTGAGAATTTCATTCCCATATTACAGTAATATGTTTCCTATTGGAATGACAATAAGAACCCAGAACATGGGACTTCGTAGGTTGTATCCAGTGATACTGTTCTGCTGATAGCAGAGTTTTTCTGTGGTGGAAGGATTTGTTTGCTGCCAAAATGAGCTCCTTATACTTGCAAAACTGTTTTTATGTTTGTGAAAAGCACCAGTCAGCAGGATAGAGTCATTAGAGTATTAAAGAATCCAAACAAAACAGTAATGAAACAACATTTTTTGTGTACATTCTTAAAAATAACCTGGTTTAGGACAATATGTGAAATATATTATTGATGAACTCTTACTTGAAATTTCCAACCTTATTAAGGCAAAAATTGAGAAAGCATGGTCTGTCTTATTCTGGCACCAAATATATTTGAAACATTAATAATAATAATAATAATAATAGCACTGCTACTGCATAGCAATAACACCTTTTTTCCTGGCTATGATAAGGGCATCATATATATGAATCTCTCTAAATTCTACAGTTCAAAGTCCACAAGAAACAAACCTCAGCTTCATTAGGAGGTAATACAACATAGCCTTTTTGATTAACAGGTAGGAGGACACAGCTGGGATTGCAGGTGCAGTTTGACAGTATACCTTTCAGTTTCTCAATTAAATAGGAGAATTGACAGTATGGGTTTTTTTCTTCTGATCATTTCATCTTTCCTTCACATGTCAGTGAGTGAGGCTCCAGATGTACCCCATAGCAGGCGGAGGAATAGTAGTCAATAAGAGTTTTTGAAAGAGTGAGAGATAGCTCTTGCCGAGTCTTCTGTTTCATCAAGGAATGTTAAAGGTGTTGCTACGGCATGCACATTTATATATACATACACATACACAAAGTAGAAATGGGACATTATTGTGTTTAGTTTAGTTTATTTCTACAGTCCTTAGACCAGTCATACAAAAAAACAAGTACACCTTTACAAAATTCCAAGATTGACGTTATTGTGTTATTTGCTCTTGTTGCATATGAAGCAAACACATTTGATTTTAGATAAATAAGATGAGATATATGTCTCTGCTTAAATCATTAGTATTTTTTCTAGGCAAATTTAGGCAGAGACATTTTAATGGCCCAGTTGCATTAGTAAAATGCTAACAGCACAGTTATGAACATTTTATGAAATGTGTTTCTGATTTAGCACAAATACATACTACAGTCAGTGTTCCCTCTAAGCTGAGTTAGTGTGAGCCAGCTCACAGTTTTTTAGCCTCCGGCTCACACATTTTTGTCCTAGCTCAGGAAAGGAGGGCTCCAGAGCAAATTAATTTATGCAGCAGCCAAATCGCTCGCTCACAACTTCAATGCCAGGAGCTCACAAAGTAGAATTTTTGCTCACAAGACTCCACAGCTTAGAGGGAACATTGACTACAGTTGTAGTGTAGATAGTCTAACAAGCACCAGTCTTAACAGCTGTCTTTTAGCACATTTTTTCCTTAGTAAAAGTATATGCAGATGTATGCAGTTGACTAAGACTGTAAATCCAAATACACTCGCCAATGTGATCATTGGAAATCAGTGGGCTGGCATCTTTTTTAATAAATAATAATATGCTATTCCCTTCCGCAAGCAAAGAGAAGTTCCAGCAACATTACTTACACACATTGGCTCCCTGTAGAAGAGTGAGCACTGGAGTCTTCAAGAGCATTTTTTAATATTTGACTTTTTACACTTATGCAAGTAGAGCATAGGTGGAGGCAGAGGCATCCCTACGGAGCAGCTGATCCAATACTCCATCTCCTCAGAGAAAGAGACACTACAACATAAGATATTTTAGCCACTCACAGCAATCTGCTTCTTCCACACTGAAACTGCTTTTTCTTCATACACACATCCCTCTGTTCTTCCTTCAACTGGGAAGGGTCACGTCTGTCAAATTCTGATAGCTGCTAAACATTTGGAAGAACTTCCTGACAGAGCAGTCCCTCAGTGGAACGGGTTTCCTCAGATGGTGATGGGCTCTCCTTTGGAGGTTTTCAGATAGAGGCTAGATGGCCATCTGACAACAATGCTGATTCTGTGAACTTAGGCAGATCATGAGAGGGAGGGCAGGAAGGGTTGTGTCAGTGCTTAGTTCTTGTGGCCCTTTCTTACACACCCAGGGAAATGCTGTTTGCCACTTTGGAATCAAGAAGCAATTTTTCTCCAGACCAGTTTGGCTGGGGATCCTGGTTTTTGTTTTTTGTCTTCTTCTGGGCAGGGAACAGGGGTCACTGAGGGATGTGGGAGGAAGGTATTTGTGAATTTCCTGCATTGTGCAGGTGGTTGGATGACTCTGGAGGTCCCTTCCAACTCTATCCTTTTCAGTCTGACTTCAGGCCTGGGTTTTGTTCAGTCGCACAGTTCACGACCCCATGGACCAAATCACGCCAGGCCTTCCTGTCCTTCATTGTCCTCCGGAGTTTGCTCAACTTCATGTACGTTGCATTGATAACACTGTCTAATCATCTAATCCTTTGCCGTTCCCTTCTTTTACCTTCAGTCTTTCCCAGCATCAGGGTCTTCTCCAGTGAGTGCTCCCTTCTCATTTGGTGGCCAAAGTATTTGCACTTCAGCTTCAGTATCTGTATTTCCAGGGAACAGTCAGGGTTGATTTCTTTTAAGATCGACTGATTTGATCTCCTTGCAGTATCTTTGCCAAGAAAATCCCATGGACAGTAACAAAAAGCCCAAAGGGTTTGGGATAGAGACAGGTTTAGTGGTACTTGTGGGTGATCTCCACCTTCAGATTGACAAGGGGAATGAATATTGTTATTGTTAGATCTACCTTTGATATATTGGACCATGTGATACTGCTGAGCTGCCTGGAAGGTGAGGTGGATCTGGATGGAGAAGTGTTGAGATACATACATAATTTACGATCCAGAGATCAAACAACATTTTAACGAGAGTCTGCATCTAGTACATACAACATATAGGTGTAAGCAATTTTAATAAAAAAACTTAAATCATCCCCTTGGGAGCTGACATGGCAGGGAGGGGGAACTACAAGGTTCTGTGTTATCTCCCATGTTGTATGACCCGTCTGCGTATTGCTGCTTGATCAGATCGAAGTTTTGGAATAAGTGTTGTCATCAATATGCTGATGACACCCATCTATATATTACTCTAAATAAGCCACCTGCTGCTGCTCTCTCTGTCCTGGCCCAGTGTTTGTATGCTGTGGTCAGGTGGCTGATAGAGCTAAATCTGGTTTACTGACTAAAAGGGTGTAATGTACTCCGCCATTCCCACGTGCGCGACCGTTGGGCCATGCGGTCAAGCACAAGCCCAAAGCTTCGTACATTTAGAACAATAGCCAAGCGGATCCTAGCCTGCACCAATCAGAGGGCCAGGTCCGCAGCCGAGAGCCTATGGGACTCTCGGCTTCTGTAAATAACCTATAGGGTGAATAGGGGTGTGTTTTGGTGGTGGGTTTCTGTGCATATATACCGGCCTGCGCGCCGCCTTACTTTGTCTTGTTCCTGATTGAATAAAGTACTCTTGCTGAAATCACTCCACGTTTCTGAGTACTTTTCACCGGTGACGAAGGTGGGATACTACCCTTCCTGAACAGACCCAGAGGAGACCAAGCAGCACCGAGCACCGATTGCGCCGCCGCCGCAACCCCGCCGCTCGCCGGAGATCAACGCTCCATCGCACCACATCTCGCTCCGTCAACCACCGGCATCTCGC